GTCTCTTAGTGTGTTAAAGAACTAAGAAAATAAAACAATACATTACAATGAATGCATTGAATGAACTATGAAGAGAAATATAAGCTTTAGATTCTTGACTTCGGCTGATGCCAACAATCAATATTATATATTAGATTCATTCCTTTATATCTACGTATTACAAAAACCTACATAAAACGATCATACCCTCCTTTCAATAAATTCTCTGTACTTTTTTACAGGGTATAACATGTAATGTTGTCATCATCGTGGTCTGCGCGCATTCCTGCAATTGGTTTTTGGGGTCAGTCGAGTTTGGCTGGTAGCAAAAGTGACTCATGTCAGTCACAAGTCAAAAGGGGGCTTACCTCTGAGACCTGCTCACTCGCTCTCTCTATCTCTCTGTCGCTTTCTGTTGCTGCCCCCTCTTGAATTGTGGTAATTAATTTTTGGCGAGGCACCTACATAATGTGGCTGACACCATGGTCGGCACCTGCGACTCGATCCCAGAAACTGCAAGGCCTCATCCGTTGGCAAACTGGTTGCAGTTGTAGTTGCTGTTGCTGTTGTTGCTTTTGGTGTTGCCCCCGTTGGTTGCAAATGCCGTTTGCTCTTTACGCGCAACTTCTAATCCGTTGGAATTTCAGACACGCCAAACTGGCACACAGACTGACGTTAGACACTGTTTGCAGACATCGAGACAGGTTCAGCTGCTGCTGCGGCTGTGGCTGTGGCTGCTGCAGCTGAGCCGAGTGGCATGCCAGTTGGGTGGCACGGCATCTTGGTGGCATTGGCTGCTGCCAAAATGTCAAGAGTTTGTCTATCACAGCTAGGCAAGAGGATTACAACCTTTTGATTGTATAAGAAATTTGGTAAAGCTGCCACTTAAGTCAGCTCAGATCAATGGGTTGGCCCAAAGAGTTGACCAACATTGTTAGGGCATATATGTATATGAGCTTAAATTAACTCGGCTTCCAAGCGTTTATACTCTCTGTTAGCCATTGTAGATGCTTGTGTACATGTATGTCTTTAGAGTCGTTTTAATGGGCACCACAGCACGCAATATCATTTAATTGAGAAAGGGAGAGAAAGAGACACAGATACAAATGACTATTGAAATTTAGTGTACAGTAGAGTAAAGTGGAAATGGTAGTGAGTGACTAGAAGCATTTCGAATTGACAAAAATAACTTGATAAAATATCACATTGAAAAATGGCCTGGGTAGATGCTTCTCTAATATATTATCTATTACCTATTATCCATTGTTATCAATTATTTAGAATACATTCTATTGGGATATTTAAGAATAAGACTATATTTTTCCAAAGAGTTTTGATTCAAAATTTTAAATAACCTCAAACACTGAACGTAAATAGTTTTAGATTCAGATTCACTTCAGATTTATTATGAAATGTTACATTTTGTATAATCATTCGAAATATTTGCCCACTGTCTTTGGCTATATAAGATAGCAACTCTATATCTACATTCTGGCATGGCATTCAAAATAGCATCCTCATTGCTAAAGCTCCCTTGGCTTGTCCATTTAAATAGCTCAACTAAAATTAATTACTTATCCTATGTTAATGAGATTCACAAATGTGAGCTATAAAAATGCCATAAAATTTGTCTTCAAAATTCATTAACTGCCATACATACATACATAAAAACATACAAATACGCATACATACATAGATTAACAAGATACAAATTTTCTTATTCCCTTATGTATGTATGTATTTAATCTAAGCAATATAAAATAAGACATGTACAAGAAAAATAGATGCCTATATAATTGAAAATTTCATTGATCTCTCATGTAATCTTTATACGACTAATATAGTTAATCTCATTGTGTACTAAAATATCAATATTAATAGTCAGTATTTAAAATATGTACAATAGTTGGTATTTAATGACATAGGGCACTTAATTTTCGGACACGTCTTATCTAATGCACTCAGGCGTCACCATTTTCAAATCGAATGGGTGAATTTCAGGGAGCTAAAATGGCAAATGGCAAATGGCACGCGTTTATTTTATTTTAATGTCTTATGATGAATAATAATAACATACGGCTTCAGCTGAAACACGAGTGTAAGTGCGAGTGTGTGTGCGCGTTACGTAACCGAAATAAAAGTAATAATAGTTGCCGAGAAAAACTTGAATTTTCACGCAAGTGAAATGAGCGGGCAACTAGCAAAAGCCAGTTGCACTTTTCTCAAACAGCAACAACAACAGCCGAGGAAAAATCAAATTTGCCAGGCAGCAGCAGCAGCAGCGGCAGCGACGCCGGCAGAGGCAGCCACTGCAATGGGGAACGCGCAACCAGTTTCACTTTGCGAAAGCAAAAACAGTTTTAATTTCAATTTCATTCGAGTGCCGAGCGTTGCTGGCGAAAAACGCAGCTCCCAAAAAAAAAAAAAATATATATATATATATATCTCGACAGTTCAATTTTCCATTATCAAAGAAAAATCACCATATATACTGAAATATGAAGCTGGCCGATTTGGATGAGCAATACAAGCGTTTTCCACAAATCAAGCGTGAGGAGATGCGAAAATTTGTCGATTGGATACATGCCCAGCCGCATTTCTCCCCCCACTTTTCCGAGGGGGAGGCACTGCATTTCTTCCATGCCTGCAAGTACAGCATGGAGATGGCTAAACAGGTGCTAGAAACAAATCTCACGGCCCGCACTCACCTGGACGACTTCTTTGTGAATCTGGACATCGAGTCGAATCAACTAAAAAGGGCCATGAAAACGGTGTATGAAAGTCGAGTTGAGCTATGTGTTTTGTTCTCTGTAATTCATATATGTATATCACCTGCAGCTCCATCGTTCCACTGCCAGGTGCCACACCCGAGGGATACCGAGTTATAGTGGGCAAGCTGGAGGATCTGAGTGCATCTAATTTCAATTATGCCGATGTCATGAAACTGTAAGTGCAAGAGGAATTGCAACGTACTTTGCATATATACATATATGATAGAGAGATATAGTCTTTCTTCAAAAACCCTACATCTACATCTTTGTTCAATTTATCAAAAAATAGTTGTTAAACAAAAACAAATTTTTCATTGCAATAGATAATACAGAGAGTCTCTAATACCCTACACGGATCGATTAGATTAACACATTTTAATTACATATTTTACGTTGAGCTTCCATATGCTTCTTACATAATATTGCTAATGATTAGTATATATGTATGTATATTTTAGACGTATATATTAAGGTGTACATATTGGTGTAATAGTATTGCCAAAGAATCTTAATTGATTTAAATTTCTATTTATTACTAAGCTCAGTATATTCCCTTAGAGCCTTAATCCCGTATATTAGTGACATATGAAATATTCAATTATAGTTATGAATGCTAATAATAGCAATTAGGGAGCTACGCGCACTGAAATATTGTCAGTCATAATTATGACAGGTGCAAAATAGGCTTAATAAACCCAAGAGTCAAAGCTCAAAGTGCCTCAAGTCAGAAGCTAGTGAAAACGTCAGAGCAACGACTGAAACTATTAAAAAACATGCACGCAACACGCCACGATCAGAGACATTTGCTGGGTGCAGATACAGATACAAATACAAAGGCATCGATATACATATATGTGCATATACTATGTAGACACATACAGAAACAAACATGGATACAGATAACAATGTGCGAATATATACAGATACATATGCAGGCATACATACACATGTCTAGTTACTGATGCAAGCATAGACATAGATACACACAGCTAGGCATAGATATAGATACGTTTCTAGCTGCATGTATACCGTCATTGACAGACTTAAGATACATTTACAAACAGAAATACGAATTTCAAGTCTATACACAGATATAATTCTGAAATTTAAAGATAGAATCGGAAACAGATACAGGCAGAGTTACAGATACACACGCAATATATACAGATAAATTCTGCCAGATACATGCGAGACAACAATTTAAAGTTTAATGATTTCTAATTAAAATAGTAAAATACAATTGACAAACGTATAATATATTGTCATGCATGATGATCCGTGCAAACTGTCGTTTGCAGCTACTGCATGGTATTCGATTATTGGATGTACGAGGATGGCATACAGCCAGGCCACGTGATTGTCATTGATCTGAAGGGCTGCTCCTTGGGTCATGTGGCACGCATTGGCTTGCTGCAGATGAAGAAGTTCCTGTTCTATTTGCAGGTGAGTGGGATACAATATATAAAATACTTATATAGTAACGGGAAATTAAAACAAATATATAATATATACGTTATATTCTGGATCATCAAAGAGTTGATACAAGAATATAAATATTTGATTTTTATATCGCACAGAGCATCCGTTGCAAAAACCGTTGCATACTTTTGAACTTGAATTCTGATATCAAATATCTGAGATCTAACTAACAATATTTAATTCTGTACAAAAATGTAACTAAATAAAAAGTATATATGAAAGTCATATTATCTTATATATATTTAAATCTATATCTGCCTCTATACTTAGGAAGCAGCTGCGATACGTCTCATTGGTTTTCACTTCATCAACATTGTGCCGTTCATGGACAAGATAATGGCGCTAATGAATCCATTCATGAAAAAGGAGCTGACCAGCATACTCTACTTGCACAACGATATCAATGAGTTCTTTAAATTTGTACCGCGTGAGATGATGCCTAAGGACTATGGCGGACAACTCGAAGAGACCAAAGTGGCAAGAGGTAGGACTGCAAATAATATAAATATATTTATAATATACACAAACGTTTATCTATATATTACATAGAATTATACTACAACAAGCTGATGGATGATCGCAAGCAAATGCTGGAGTTCGAGACGCGACATCAGGTGAACGAAAAGTTGAGACCGGGAAAGCCAAAGAATGCTTCTGATTTGTTTGGCATCGCAGGTAACTTTAAGAAATTGGATATCGATTAATACAAATTCGATTACAAAAAAACTGTCTTTCGATTTGTGGTGTTTTGTTAAAATAAAGTTAAAGTTGTTATATGATCGTCGGAACATGTCTTCATTTTATTCAGCTTAGAGCTATATTCTAGTTACTTATGAACTTAGAGTTATATAGATTTCAAGGTTTCTTAACGAGTCGATACATACGATGAATGTACAGATGCCTTCGGTTGGCGTAGACTCCCGATAGATGATCTTATGATAATATAAACTACATATTTAGAACTAAAAAAAATAGTTGACCATTGGGTGAAGTTAGTAATTATTAGTAGAAAAGTCCATCTCATGGTTATATATACTTTACATGCTATGTGAGCCATGTATTAAAATTACAGCAATATATTTATATATCTATATATATATATATGTATACATGTCAGTAAAATAAATCTTGCGTTAATCCTAATTTTTCTTAATTGTTATTCTTTAATCAATATGTATACAGCTAGTGTTAAGGTTTGTAGCACTCGGACCCTTCAACTGCACTCGAAGTAATTGTTACCTGAAACAAAACCAAAATAAATAGTTAAAAATTATAATGGAATGTTATTGTAATAATAATATATATACTGAAGGCAAATTCTTGATTCGACACGCACTGCTACCTACTTCATGTAATCGACAATCTATACCATTGTGATAGAGACTGAACTATGTTTTATCCCAATTCGGCGTCGTATCTCGATCAAAATTATAATTAGAGCTTTCACAATTACATATACGGAATTCCTTCTGGAATGCTCTCTGCAAGCTTATACAAGAAGAGCTTTACTGCTCAATACGAATTACATGTATAAAACTTGTTTTACGAGTAAAAAAAAAGTTTTGTTATGGATGCCAAGTCAAAGTCGCACCATAAATATATATTTTTATGGTCTTGACTTTACGAACTGTTGAGCTGTTACTCACTGTTGAAAGCCGTGATTGATTTGGTTGTGGCGCATTGCCTGGGCGTTGTTGTTGTTGTTGCTGTTGTTATTGTTCATGTTGTTCATATTGTTGATGGGATTGTTTGCATTGCGGGCACGGCTGTTGCCTTTGAGAGAGCCTCGACTGGTGGACTTTGCCACGTGCTTCTGATGCTGCTCCGTGATGTGTCCGAACTGCGCATTGCTGCTGACTGTGATGGGCAACTAGGAAAGTGGATGATGCTGATTAGATGAAGAATTGCAAGTGGCATTAATTCAATTTACGGGTATATTGTAGCGCTGCACGGGAAGCGGCTGCGGCTGCGTTTGCTTTGCAGCATAGTTGAGTTGACTGTTCCGCTGAGTCGTCATGATCGTGTTGCCCAGATGACTGGTTGTGGCGGGTGTGATAAGGGTGACTGGAGTGACAATGGTGCTGCTGTTCGGGGCAGGCATTGTGGAGGGCAGCGAGACGGGTCGCAGAAAAGTGTTATTGGGCAATTTGAGCATCTCGGTGGAGGCGGGCGGTACGGGATTCACCAGCGATATCATCGGCTGATGCGTCCACTTTTTGTTGGGAGGGCCCACAACGGAAGTTCGATTTAATTGCTGGCTGGAAGCAGGCGTTGTGCTGGCCATTTGCTTGTGCTTGCCACGACCTGTTATTTCGGGTTGCGCCTGCACCTGCACCTGAACCGACGACTGCACCTGCACCTGCGGCTGCGTTTGTGCCTGCGCCTGCACCGTGGATGCTTGGCCACAAGTGGCGGAGTGACGCTGCCAATGCATCTGCTGGCAGGGATAGTCACAGTAGGAGGTGTTCCAGCAGCAATAGAGCTGCGCCTCGCGCATACAATTCGCGCACCATTGCTTCTTCTTGGCTTCCTCCACGGCTCGCATCCGCTCTAGTGTGCTATGCTGTCGCAGTTCATTAATCACCCGCTTGTTCTCCTGTTCCATGGTCTTGCGCATCTCAGAGATCATCATCTCTGTGGAGCGTTGCAAGTCCGCAATCTGCCGCTCGTAGTGCTGCTTCATGCGCTCGTTCTCCAGCGTCAGGCCAGCAATCTTGGCCTGCAGCACACTGGGCTCTCCTCCAGCTAGATCGCTGAGAGTGTCCTCAATGACCGAGATGAAGTAGTCCGTAATCTACGTGGAATTATATGTGATTAGCATATTACCAATCAATTGACTGCTACAGTGTTTGATTGATTCACTGATGTAGTGATTGAAATACCGTTACATACAACTGAACGTAACTCACCTTGTGCGCATTCTCCTTCAGTTTGGTGGACAGTGGTCCAGCTTGTGCTGGATACAAATTGGAACCATCTGACTGCAGTGGGCCGCACGGCCGCATCGTCAGCTTGGGTGGCCCAGGACGCAACAGCAACTCGCTCAAAGCGGTCGCCAATCCCGGCGTAATAGGTTCCGCCGGAATGGATTCACTAACCAGGGTATCACTGGGCAGGCCATTCAGAGCGCTGGCCAGCAGGCCACCCGACTCTGAGCCACTGCCCACTGGCCGAATCGTGGCCGTTGTCGCTGTGGTTAGCCCCGCCAGTGGCGGCGGCGGCAGCGAGCTGTTGGGAAATGTGGGCGCAGGTGCTGGAACCGGCACAGCCGTGATCGAGGTCATCACATTTGTGGATTGCAGCGTATTCTTGGAGACAGCTCTCAGCGGGGGCACTGGTATGCTCATCAGACTGGCATTGTTGAGATTGCAAGCGCTGCTACTGTTGCTGCCAATGCTGCTGCCGCCAGCTCCGTTGGTGCTGCGCGGTTCCATGGGTATGACCACCATGTTGGACTTGAGCAGGCTTGAGGTGGGCGTGGCAGCTGGCAATGCTAGCACGGACTGTGGTGCTGTCTCATTCAACGATTTGTCAGTCTTCACGCGCAACGGCTGACCCACTGCCTGTTGCAGCTTGGGCGAGGATTGTGGAACTGGTCGCTGAATGTTGCTCGACATGGATGCGACTGACAGCGCAGGTGATGCCGGCGCCGGTGGTGGCGTTGAGGCGGGTGACTGAGCTGCCGCTGGTAATGGACCATGAGGCACGCCTCGCAAAGAGCCACGTTTTGCTGTTTGAGCCGCCGTCATCGTCGTCGCCGTAGTTGCCGTCGCTTCGGGGACTTTGGGCGCCTGTTTCTGACTCAATCTCTGTATAGTGGTATCGCCTACGAAGCGCACAAAGGTTTCAGGCGCTGCTGCAACTACGTTTTGAGGGGGTGTGGCCTCAACAGAGTTGATTGCGGTAGGCTGCGCTTCTCGATTGGGCAATGTAGACGGCTTTGCAGGCTCATTGTGATCCGTTTCCATTTCCTCCTCGCTGAGCACCTCTTCCTTGATCTTAACTGGCTCAATGGCTTCAGCAGCTCGTGGAACTTCGGGTTGGGCGGGTGGTGCAGCAGTCGGCGGGCTGATCTCTGGCGCTGACTGTGCAATTGGTACTTGCTGCTGTTCCTCCTCTACTGGCATCGGTTGTGTCGCAGTTGCACTTGGACGCCCATTTTCCTCCTCATTTTCCTCTGGCTCAGACAGTACCTCTTTTTTGATCTCCACAAAAGGCACCACCTTGCTGATGAGCTGTTGCTGCTGTCGCTCCACTGCACGCTGTCTTGCTATGGTCTCATTAACAGCTGCTGGCTCATTCGGCTTGGTAGGAATCGGCTGTGGTTGCGGCTGCTTCTGCTGTGGTTGTTGCTGTTGTGGTTGCTGCTGTTGTTGCTGTTGTTGAATTTGTTGCTGCTGCTGCTGTTGTTGATCCCTGGGTATCTTGGTTATGGTTACGCCTTGCCGTCTGCGCACCAGTTCCACCACCGACTCAACCCCTTGATTTGCTTCAGTTGAGCCCGTTATGGTTGGAGCTGATGTTTCATTGTCAACTTTGAGCTGTTCTGCTTCCCCTTCAGTTGGCTCCTGTTCCCCCTCCCCCTCCTCATCATCGTCCTGGCATTCGTCTGCCGGTGCTTTGCGTGCGTGCTTTGCCCGTCGCCTCTGCTCTGAACTGCTGCCATGATGGCTCGTCTCGCTGCTGGCATCACTCTGTGAGTGTTTGCGTTTAATTATGGGCACTTGCTCCCCGGTGACAGTTGACGAAACCTTGGCTAATGTCTTGCAGGACTCCAGGGATTTGCGCTTAAGAACCACTGTGCACCCACGAGATTCTCTTAGCGCATCGCCAGCTCTTGGTATCACTTCATAGTTGCTGCTCTTCGGCTTCGGGTGATCGCTAGTGGATGGAGGCGACGAGGATTCAGCATCGTGGATTGGTTTTTTGATGGGGCTACCTGACTGATCAGATTCATTGCCCGATTCGGTTGCCTTCGTCTTTTTCACAATTGATAATTTGTCGCCGGCTGTTTTGCGTATGAGGAACTGCAGCGGCGTCTTGTTGGCAGGCGCCAACTGCCTGTTGATGACATCATTGACGCCCGGCATCATTTTCTCCAGCTGCTGTTGCTCCTCCTGTGGGTCGTAGGGCAAACGGTATGGAGCATAGTTGAAGGCGCCAATTTTATTCTTTATATGCTCAATGTGCACCTCCACCTCCCGAATGCACTCGGCCAGATCGCGAGCAGATCGTCGGCTCGTCTGCGTATTGGGATCTTGTGCGGAGTACAAAAAACAATCCTTAACGGGCACGTTGGCGCGATCGTGTTTCCCAAAAAACCGTACATTAACGCCTGCATTGGGACCGCAGCCCATAGCCTTGGCTGGCCAGTAGGGAAATCCTTTTAGCTTGGCCCACAGCAGCAAATGCGGCTGGGTGCACACCTTCACGAACCACTCGTCACTGGAGTTGGCATTCAAATAGCATTCGGCGCAGGTATCTATCTCGTTGGCCTCCTGCCGACAGACCTTGACTACTGCCTTAGAAGCTTGCTCCACTTTCACATCTGCTCGAGAATCAACGAATTATACTTTATTAAATTACAACAATTGATGCCACTTACCTCCGTAGTCTAAAATGAGTGCATTGTGCTGTATCCACTTCACCTCGCTGAGAAACTCGTCGGCGCTGTGAAATGCGTGATTTTTGATGCGTTCTGCTAAGGTTTCGAAGCTCACCGGATTGGCAAAGTATTTGCTATAACTATCCGGCAGTACATCCTGTGGTGCACGCAATTTGTGTACCTTCAAAAAGAAGAACAAAAATTAATAACGTTCAGTATATTCGGCTTTCTAAAAAATTAAAAAAAAAAAGGAGTTATTTAATTTCCGTTGGCGTGAACAGTTTTCAAAATGATAGAAGAAGCGGTAAACATGTGAACCTTATTGGTGCAGCAGCAGCAGCTAGACAGCTGAGCAGCAATTCGCCGCCTAAGAGAGTCGCGGCGAAGAGAGTAGCGCAATTTCTATTGTAAACAAACAAGTTTGACAAGAGAAGAGCGGGCAGTAAAATCAACAAAAACAGCAACAAACACAGGCAATTCGGAACAGAGCCAGACAAATGCCAGTATGTGCGCACACACTCCAATGCATAAGTGTGTGCGCATGTGACTGTGCGTGTGTGAGCGTAACTAACCTCAAATTACACAGCAAACGTAGCTGAGGCGGCAATACCAGGCAATATTATTGCGCCACTGACGTCGCCGCACCACCACCTCTACTACTGCTGTTGCGCTGCTGCTATTGCTGTGTGCTTATGTCTCTGCTTCTTCGATTTGATTTTGTTTGCTTCCTGCTGCCATTCACACATATTCTTGTACATTTATGCTCATACATAACATCAGCTAATATGTGCGTGTGTATATACAATGCAGGTGTGTATGTATGTATGTATGTATTAAAGTTAATTTGTCTGCGGTTTACACTTGTAATTGTTTTTAACGCTCATTGCTAGCTAACGGCTCAGACATTAAATTAATTAATTCATTTCTCGCACATTTTATGCCACAAAGGCAGCTCACTGGGTGGGGGCACAGCATTAATTTGCTACTTTATGGAGTGTTTTTGTTCGAGTCTCTGCTTCATGTTCAAGCATAATATTGTGCCCATCAACAACTAGAAAATAAATGTCCCAAATTATAATCTTAAGCTTTAATAAAGTTGCTTGGAAATGTGCAAAATATAAATGGACAATTGGAAATTCTTGCAATTTAAATTTGTAGAGGAGCGAAATTAATAATCCCAATTTTGATTTTAAATATTTTTACATTGCAAAAATATTTGTACATATATTTGAATAGGATTAATTTGTCTGCTAACTGCAATGTTGTTAATGGCATTATAAGAATTTCAAAATAAATTTATAAACATGAATCTAATTGGAAATGTACGTGATTTGATTATATTAATGTACTAAATATTAAGTTATTATTTCAGAAATTAGTTTTCATGGCAATTTAAATTATTGCGCTTATGCAAAAATCCCTGTATTTATTATCATTACAATGTACATGCGAATATATTTTATATTGAAAAGGGGTCCAGGAGAAAAGGGGATATGTTGCTCAGTTTAAAACTAAATAAAAACCCAGCAAAAGCGACGAGAACAAGAACGAGACATTTCAGGTATCTATACGTTTTCTTAACGATAGAGCGAGAGAGGAAGAGGGAGAGAGAGAAAGCCACCAGCACCGGCGATGGCAACGAAGAGAGCGCGCAACTGAAGACCTACATACACACAAGTACACGTGTGCGTGTGTGTAAGTGAACGGCTCTCTATGTAATTGTGTTGTGTGCGCGTAAATATTTCGCATGTTGTTTTCAAAATGACAAACGAACGAATGCGAACCGAAGGCAGAGAGATAATGAAAAACGCGATCGGTTACGGAAAGCGAGTAATATACTTACATATATGCATATTTTCATATTTATATTTCTATATGTGTAAGATTTATTTGTATGTATCACTCACCCCGCGCACAAGCTTCATGCGCTCCAGCGCATAAGCGAGCAACTGACTGAGCAGATCCACGGAGACATCATTGCGACGTGGCCTTCAAATGGCATGTAAATAATGGGATATTAAGCAATTGATACCTGCTTAACGAATGTACCAGAATATTTACCGCTTGGGCGCGCTATCGATCAGTAGACATTCAGGACATTTCCAGGAGCTGTCGAATTTCGTAGAAGCAGGCCGCACACAGTAGGCGTGGAAGGAGCGTAGGCATTTGGAGCAGGGCATCAGAGAGCCGCAGCCACGGCACTTCCAGCAGAAAGGATCCCAGTTATTCTGTAAATTTGGGGGAAGAATATAATAATGTAATATTTGTACGTTTTAGATATAATCGATCGAATTACCCTTGGCGGTGGCTGCCAAATCTCGTCGAGCCTTTTCTGCAGTTCTTCGCGTGCATCGCCGCTGCCCCCACCAACCGATCCCGTTATCTTGGTGTCATCTGTGGCATCCGAGAATATGGATATATTGGGATCCGTATCCGCCGTGGAGCTGGTGCGCCACTCTCCACCGTCCGTGTCCGCCTCTGCCTCTGCCTCTGCCTCTACCTGTTCCAATGGACCGATTCGATGGAGCTCAGATCGCATATGGCCACTACTCAGCGAGACGGTCTTGCTGCGGGAACGAATTCGACTCCGGTGGCTGCTGTTGCTCTCCTCCTCTGTCTCCTCGTTAGCGCTCAGATCAGCCAACGTGTCTTCGCCAGGATCGCAAGCCATCGAATAGTTGCGCCTCTTCTTTGTCTGATTTTTGGGCAGCTGTGTCGCCTGCTGCCATTCCTCTAGAGAATCCCACATTGGAGCGGGGATGCTCTTGCTGCGCTTCAGCGTCTTACCTCTAACTCTTGTGCTGCTCCTCGAACTGGGTAGTGTGCTGGACAGACTGCTGCCACCTGTCGAAGACTGCTTGATTAGATGCTCTGCAATGGCGCGAGACTTCCGGCGCTTAATCTTGGCGCTATCGGAGACGTAGCCGGTCAGCACTTTCGACTCATTGTGAGAGCGCTGCAGGGCAACCATTTCCTTTGGCACGCGCACCTTCACCTCCTGCTTGGGCGTCGATGTGCTTGTGGGCTTCGTTTCGCCTTGATGTGGCGCCACCTTGGTCAGCTTCATTGTGAGCGACGCATGGCCCCCAGCCGCTGCGGTTGTCTCCTTCCAGGCGCTCGAGTTGGAAGAACTGCTGCCATTGGCCGAGTCCGGAGGAGAACTGACAACATACTTCAATCGCTTATTGGGCAATGCGTCCCGCTCTTGGGCAGTTGTTCCTGCCCACAGAGTCGGAGGCGGGCTATCAATGGCCGAGGTCGCCTCATAGATGGGCCGCGGTATCGACTTGGTGCTGTCGTCGTCGTCGCTGCTATCCATCTGGGCTTAGTGATCAGCTGAAATTACATATATATTTATTATAAGAATAAGAAATTTGCGAAGCTGTTCAAGAACAAATACGTCAACAATTAAATACAATTATATAATTAATTGCGTCACAGAAATAATTGTTGAAATTTTTGTATTTTATTTTAGTGATCGTCTGAATTTAGTAATGACTCTAATTAAAATAATAACATTTTACAGTTTCTATTAATCATTCAATTTGACAGTTTCATTATTATTTCATACAAATGTGCTGCAATGTGCAAGTATTAAAACAGCAGTGGATAATTGCGCATAGAAGTAGGGAAATTATCTCCCACAACAGAGCATAATCTCAGTAATATTTTGTGCAGTTTTGCAAAATTGAGCAGCGACGAGTTCGTCGACTCGCTGCTCTGCAAACCTGCCAGCTAGACGAAGAGAGCGCAAAAGTATTGCTGGGATAAGGGAACGACATGGGCAAGGGTAAGGGGTAATAATTTAAGGAATAGTGAATTGTACTTACCAGGACTTTGTAGTTAATATCGTTGCATGCCAATACACATGCATCTATTTATACATATATAACTGTGTTTTCGTCTCTTTGTATGTAATTTTTATTGGTAGAAAAATCTTGCTTGATTTTTTTGTTGTTAATTCCGTTTTGCTTTCACGTTTGTGGCGCGTTCTGCATTGTTTTCTCTCAGTTACTTTTTCTTCTGCTGTTGTTGTTGTGCTTGTGGTTGCCCCTCTGTTGTTGTGGTACGTGCAACTGCAAAATGTAGACATGATATGTATAAAAAAAGACATCCATTTATTATGTACGGGCATTTTTACATACATACGCGCATATGCATTTTGTACGTAAAAGCCTGCACATTTTGTATATGCGTACACTTACCTACACACATGCATACATATGTATGTAAGTATGCAGACGAAGCTATTATAATTTGCTTTACCAATATTTTTATTATTGTATTTAGCTGATTTTTAGCTCATGCAGTTGAACAGCTGTTGGTACGCATGCTTTATCGATTCCAAGTCAATAATATGGCGTTTTTATTAAATTTTCTTACAATATTGTTGACTATTTTAATTTAGTTGCGGCCGCACTAGGAAAAAAACACCAAACTCGATGCGTCGTCGGCAAAGTGACTGAAAATGAATTCGCCGCAATCGCCACAATTCGCCCGTGTCAGTCAGATGTTGACGCTGCTTACGCTCATTTTATTTCTCCATCCCGCTCGCTCGCTCGCATACTCTTTGCCGCGTGCCGTTGCGGCAGCTCTTAGGCGGCTCTCTTAAGCGCTATTGTGTGTCAATGCGGTGTCATTTGGCTTGCTCATCATTGATTATGATAATATATTAAAAGTACATACATACATATACACACGGACATATTTGTGTGTGTTTATTTATACACATATCAATTGTAACATGCGTGTATAAATGCCCATATTCTGTACTTGTTTTGAGATATAAAAATATTATATATCTGTTAACTAAACTAACAGATGTTTGCATGAGTTAACAGATCAACAATTTGCCCTCCGGACATATCTATGTATGTATATACTACATATATGTAGGTACATTTGTATATAAAAACTTTAGCAATATTGTATTACCCATCTAGAGCTTTGGGAAATTGTTAAGCCTCTCAAGCCCCCAATTATTATTACTTTTGTTGCTACTTTTCTGGTTTAGTTGTTGCCATAAACAATCGACGAAATTTTGACAGTTCCGAACAACTTTTAGCATCATGAAAAATCAAATAAATAGAACAGCTCTCATATATTCATGGCAAACGATGGGCCGGGGCCAAAAGCAAACAAAAAAAGTTGCCACATATAATCCCATGCATAAAGGTCGAACTAAGTGGGTAGCTGTTCAGTCCCATTTTCAGTCGACCCCTATTTTTGGCATAAATACATGCGAGACGATGTTGTTATACAAGATGTGAGTGAGATGTGTGTACCTGCTGCCACACCGGCCAACATGTCAATGAATGGAGATTACAAACATAATTTGTATTCCAAAAAATATCGAAAACTGTTCCAAAACAACAACAACAAAAAATAAAATAAAAACTTACTCGACGCGCCATTTTTATTGGTGTGCAAAGCAAATGGAATGAAAGTATATTTGGATTGCATAGAATTCGTAACTCGGGATATATATATAACGCTTGCAATATATATTTAGTATATCAGCCTAAGGTTTGCATTACAGTGTCTTAATTATTTCATAAAGTGATATATCCGATTGCCATCTTAATAATCTTAATAATTTAGCTACAACTGAAAGTCAACTTGAATAAAGTATTATCCTGTTCTAAATTACATATTGAGAGTAATATATGTATATTCCATCACAATCTGAGTTCATTCTAGTCCTAGGTGTTAGTAAAGTCCATTTAATTAAGTCAATTAAAAACTCGAGTAGAGCATCACCACTGTCGGCTATGCTCGCTAGCACTACATTCTAACGTTGATTTTCTGTTTGTTTTGTGTGTGTGTGTTTTTTTGTGCATGGGCAAAGTTTGTTTTTGGTTTTTTGCCTCTGCTGCTGGAGTGTTCCTTGGGGAGCAATTGGGTTAATATTTGCCACATAAATTTGCAAGCGAAACACTTTAATCAATGCTCAATCGGGGATGAGTTCTGAATGCACCTTTAAGCATAAACTAAGGGCATATTGATTCGAAAACGAAAACAAAACTAAGCCGGAGGCATGCAGCTAGGCATGTGTCTAGAGAGGGACAGAGATACCGAAGGAGAGAACAGAGACAGCAGTGATAGAGTGAGAGGGTGATAGAGGGAGAAAGAGGGGGCTGCAAGGACTGTCAGTTATAACGTATTGCATTTCATTTTGTTGATCTTCGAGTTGCAGGCAGCTTTCGGCTCGTAACGACTTGCATAATCGCTTAAATGGAATTTATAGAAATCCTAGCTGCACCTGAGTCCTAAGCAGAGCAGGCAAAAGAGTGACGCACAGACAGAAAAAGAGAGACGGCGACATGGAGAGTGACAGAGAAAGGACTTGAATACAAAGGCCACGCTGCTGACGCTCTACACACAGCGAAATTTGTATATTAAATTGTAATTATATTGATTGGATTCGATTTACCTTATGTTATATTTCTAATGAGATTGGGATTTAAACGGGTTTAGGCTGGGCAGTTATAAATTAGCTTGGCAATCTGTTTTTAAGGTCTGCTTCCAGTTGAACTGATGCAAAATGGGCATTAAACCTTGCTTTGAGCTCGATTGGTTGGCATTGGATATTCTATTTTTGTATTATATATATAATATAATATATATAATATATTAAAATAATTTTTTTTTTATATGTAAGCTCAATCTGCAAAATATTTGTTAATAATTTAAACAATTTCTTAATTGTTCAGCAAAGATTCAGTATATTTTTCGCAAAGTGTAGTCATTGCCAATTATTGAGCGCTTGCCAAGTATAGGGGCATACTATATAGCCAGAACGAATAGCTGCATCTTCCTCTTCCACTGCTGCTGCTGCTGCTTTGGGGCGGCGCAAGGTAACAGGAGCAATAACTGTTTGGCAAACAGATTTATTTTGCAGCCTCTCTTCATTGTTGCCAGCGTCCCTCCTCCTGCTGCTCCTGATTGCTGCCTGCTCTTGGCAGACGCCTCCAGCTGCACCGCCTGCGTCTTCCGCTCGTCTCAAATATTGGTTTCTAAATTTTCATTGCCATCGTGGGTAGGCCAGGCCAGGCCCAGGCATAGGCGCAGGTCCTGACAGTTGCAGCTGCACCGGCTGCTTGTTTTGGCCACATTCTCTCGCTCTTGGCTCTAGGCTGTTGGCTGTTGGCTGTTGGCTGCTGGCTGCTCCTTGCGGTGCAGTGCATCATTTTTGCATTAGAAAAGTGCCCGCTCGCTGCTGGCTGTAAATAAGCCAAACGTTACGACTGCCCGTAAAAAGTCCCTGTCTCTAACCCTATCTCTGGCTGAATCCAAGCCCAATTCCAGCTCCAGCTTCAAGTCCCCGAGTTGCCAGCGACTGCTCCTGTTGCGGCACCAACCGCAAATTATGCTTGTCAAAAATGAATGTTACATTCGTAATGTAAATGGAAAATGGGTGGCTGGTAAAAAAAAAAAGAAACAAGTAAGAAGGCTCCAGTCGAGACTGCTCGACTAGGAGATACCCTGAACCCTCCAAGCTGATATTCTAATCATTCTGCACTTCTGTTATGCACACATACATACACATGCATCCACACGCACGCACAAGCCTGCGCTCTGCTAACTGCGCAGTAAGCAGCGACTGCGCTTGGGCTGCGCTGCAGTGGGCAATATTATGAGAATTTATTTGTTGAATAATTTCTTTTGTAGACATACGATCTTAATGAAACTTTTAGAGTGTAATCATATGGTGAATATGTGTGTACATTCCAAAGCCCAAGTCTCTAGTATTTGAAATTTTTTACAAATTGGGGGAGAAGGGGGCGTGGTATCCAAAATCTGTAAATCACAAAATCTTTGTATCAATTAACTTTATATACAACGCAAATTTGAAGACTCCAGGTCTAAAAGTGTTCAAATTAGGTTTAAAAAATAAAATCAATTTTTCGATTATTCTCGATAAAAAAGTTATCGGATGGTTTATCGAAAAAATAAAGCAAACTCGTACTGCGTATGGTACACACGAGTATGCATGCCAAATTTCAGCTCTCTAGCTCTTATAACTTCTGAGATCGACGCACTCATACGGACGGACGGACGGACGGACGGACGGACGGACGGACAGACGGACAGGGCTATATCAACTCAGCTCGTCGCGCTGATCAAGAATATATATACTTTGTGGGGTCTGCCACGCCTCCTTCTGCCCGTTACATACTTTTTCACAAAACCATTATACCCTGATTTCCCATTTTCAATGGGTTCAGGGTATAAAAAAAAAAAAAGAAGCCCGATAGAATGAAAAGGTGCAGGAGGAGATTGCGCCGCTCAGTGTGTGGGTGGGTGACTGGGGTTGCCTGTGTGGGCGTGCATATATAGGTTTTTGCGGTTGCAAACGGTACGTGCTCAATGCGTCGAGAATCTCTAGAGGAAGCGCAGCTAGCACAAATGAAGCCAAGGCATTGATGGGCGCCGTTGTGAGGATGTGTGCGTGAATGTTTGTGTGTGTGTTTGTATGTGCTTAGGTGTATCCTGCTCTGACTGACTTGGTGGTTTGACTTTACCGCAGTCACCACAGCAGCAGCAGCAGCGGCAGCGGCAGTGGCAGCAGCGACGACATCAGCTCCTGCTGCAGGAGGACCACCGGATGCTGGCGGCATTTGGAGGCAGCTGCTCGCAACTTTGACTAAATGTGTTTTGAGTGCATTAAAATGAAAATGTTATTACTCGTTCGCTCCGCTCGCCTCTCTATGCGCTTCTCAGTAGCGCCTCCTCTCGGCTGTCTCATTATTGCCACATTTGATGTTTGCGCCACATGGTAACGGCGGAGATTAAGCATCCGAGAAGGGGGCAGCAGGGTGGAGAAGGCATGTTTGAAATCCTTGAAATCGTTGTCCAAATACGTATTGAACGGAAATTTCAACACACTTGCTGGCTGTTTGCGTTTGATCAACAAGTGAGGACAGTCGGAAAAAGGATGCGCTTTGCTCAGCCAAATTATGCAGATTAGCCCAAGGATATGCATGGCTATGCAAGGATATGCACAGCTCAGGAAGTCGCCAGTTGCAAGCACCATTTGAAAGACTAACAGATGCGACAGAAACTGAAATCGATTTGCCCACTCGGCAGCTGAGCCCCAATCAGCTCTTGTTTATCAAATCAAGCGATGAGCAACACATGCATATGCAAACAGAGGAAATGCGTGAGTTTTCCTCACAGGATATTAAGCAGGTAGGCAATTACGGGTCCTTAACCATACAAATGACGTTTTCGTATTGCCAAAAGTCAGTCGAGGTCGCAATTTCTCAGGCTCGCTTAGCGGAACTCGCCACAGGCGTAATTATGTAAAGGACTCTGGCATCGAATTACCACCAGAGAGACCTTCTTTAAGTGCTCTGCTAAGGCACGGCATAAATAAGAGCGGGGCCACCTCACTCCTGTACAGCCCAACATATATCATCATTTAATCATAATTCTAAGTTGCTTACTGCTTAATTTCATTCCTGTCTTATATTTCAAAGCCATAATATATGCATTAAATTTAAATTTAACACGAATTTATTACGTATACGCAATGTTCACATTGGTAAGAGCTGCTTTGATTACGAGAATTTTCGGTGGGGCGGAATATCTAGATTCATTACCAGAACATACTCCACAGAGACAATAAATTGTTAAAGCTATTCAGTTGTGCCCGATACCCATTAGATCGAGTTGTGAAAGAGGGTTAGCTCTGCTAGGAATGAATTTATAGGAATATATATGATAGTTAAAAAGATAATGATGGTGACAGTAAATAACTATAGCATTGGTAATGCTAATGCCAATAATGAAGATATTTGAATGATAATAATATCATTATACAATATATTGAAATAACAATTGTAGTGCTAATGATAATGATAATAGGCATGTCAATGATTATATTTATGCTTATTGATTATAATAGAACTTTACTAGTATTGTCAATCAATGGTAATGAATTGTCATGATTATGCTAACGACAAGATAATGATAATGCTAATGATAATGAAAAAGATGAGAGTTATTATGAATGTTAATGATAGTTAACAAGTAGAATGAAAGATATCATTTATCATGACAATATTACTAATGATAATGACAATAATAGTTAATTAGATCACTAATTACAGTGATAAACGTTAAGAAGGAACCAAGTCTTATTTCCTTTTCTACATACCTCACTTTACAGGGCATCTGCACGTCAATCATTCGCGCCTGTTCAGGCCAACAATCGGCAATCAAAAGTGAATACAAGTGAGCACACATGTAATTTAGTTTTTATTCAATTTATTTCATATTTCCGTTCGTGTTCATTGTTATTATATTAGTATTATATTTATTCCATCTATGTTAATATAGTGTGTAGTAAAGCTTGACAATCTATACCAAAGAATAATGCTATCTTCATGTATGTGAGCTATACATACATACATATACATATATATTTTATATTTATTTATATTCTTTTTTTCTGTTTTTGGCAATATTTTGTCATGTTCTCTCTATGTGTGTGAATCATGATTTTGTTCTTGTTTATATATATTTTTGTATTTTTTTATTTATATTTTAAAATTGTTTTTTTTTGTTGTAGTGTTTTTTTTTTTTTAAATGTGATCAAAATATTTGAAGTCGTGTCTAATGGTTAAATGCATTCATATTTTGTAATTTAGTTAGAATTTGGAGTTGAAATACAAAAATTTGTTATTTTTTTTCTTGTTGTCGTTTTTCCTTTTTCCTTTTTCATTTGCGTAATTCGAGCATTGAGCGACATTTGCAAAAGGTAAAAGTATTGTACTACAATTTTGCAATTTGAATTTATTTGCTGCAAGTTGAATTTCATTTTTCTTTATTTTTATTTTTGTAATTCATTTTCCTTTCTGTTGCATTCTGCATTCTGCATGTTTGCGCTTTGTTTGTGTAATTGCATGCAACGTGGCAGTTCAGAGTATGCACTAGAGATGAGAGGGCAGCGTGACACGTGGGGCACGACTAGTGTGAGAGAGTGACCGATATGAGTTGTAAAATGTGGAATATAGTTAGTGTAAATCAGAATTAAATTGAAAGTAAGAAGTGGGACGTTAAAGAGAGTTCAATGTAATGTAAAAGATCTCTGAAAAGTATATTTTTTGAAAGTCTAATTTCTGAAGCAAGTAATATAGAAAATGATATATAAAGTGTTTTTAAAAGATCTAGGAAAAGAATTTTTTAAACTTGTAATGTTTGGAGAATATTAAAAGAGAACCTATAGAATTATTTTTGTTTTATCTTATATAGTCTGGATTAGCCATAAATGCAATAGCTAAAATTAAGAAAAAAAAGGTGTACATATATAACAATTTATCTTATATAATAAAAAAATAATATAAAAAATGTATAAAATTATTTTAATAATTTTACAAAAACTATTGATCTGTTTATAGTACCTAAAAATATATACATATTTATATATTTAAGAAATCTTAAAAAATAAATTAATTGATCGTAAACTAATATACTCTTACATCCAAATATTACTGTGGGTCATATTCTGTTCAGCTTTCTTTACTGTTTTTCGTCCTCGTCTTCGTGCCCTCGTGCTTATGTTACCTCTTTACAAGCGTCACGCGCTCATCTCTAGTGTGCAGCTCATTGGCCTTCAATGTGCTCATATACGCATTGTGTTGTTGAGCTGATTCCATTTGACTATTTAGAAGGGTATTTGCTGTATATGTATATATGTATGTATGTGGGCTGAGCGAACTAAGAACGTAATTAAAACTATATTTGTAGCATACGCAATGCCCATCTCTCTCTGTGTGTGTATTTGAATGTTGACGTTTACGGAGCTTAGCTGTGTTTGACTGTTCTGTTTGCATTCTGGTGGTTAGCAACACTTTTTAATTAGTTGAAACGATTTCAAAGAACGGGGGTAATACAAATCTTTGCTTTTACAAACTCAGCTCAGCTATATGTACATATATATAATATATATTTATATATACATGGTCATGCAAGTAGAAATAGTAAATAAATGTATTTGTGTGTGATGTGAACCAAAAGCTAAATATCAGTTCCATGCCGTATAGAGCCACAACAACAATTTGAAGCGAAAACCAAATACTATATATTTATATATATAGTAAAATCAAAAATCTCTCAACTATACACAGAGCTTATATAATACTACATACGTGCAGCTGCTATATGTATATATTATATATATATATAAATATATATGTATTTATTTGTTGAAGCTTATCGAGCATCTATGAGAAGGAAAAAAATTCGCTATTTACTGACATTTATCGCTATTGATTTTTACTCATTTATTATATTATAATTCCTATTATTCTTATATGATTAATTATTTTGTTTTGCATTTAATGAGCAATTGTTTGTTTTTCCCATCAAAAATCAAAAATCCGTTGGAGCGTTTTCCCATAAAATACAAAAAATAAATGGGGGCGTCAATATGTGTGTGTGTTTGGTTTTTGGAGCTGTGTAAATATTTGCTTGCATAGTATATGTGTATATATTGCCTTCTATTATTTATTAAATCATTTTTTTTCTTAATTTCAATACTCGCTTACGAAGTTGAATAGGGTAGATTGGCTTTTAGAATATATATTCGATTAAAACATTTACAGAAAAAAATTAAGTTTTATATTGTTTCGGAGAAGCTGGAATTAACTTTTTTACTTGGCTTGGTAAATCGGAACATATTTATTTGATACTACCTGAAGTAGCTCAACGTGAGCGAGTATTAGGAAGTCGAGCAACCCGACTGCAATATTTCGTTTTTTTTCCATATTTGAATTTGTCTTGTTGGAGAAAGTAAATCCGCATTACCTTTACATATTTAAACAACAGTTGCACTATGTAAATATACATACAGTTATATATACATATACATATATATATATATAGTATGTGGCATTCAGCTGTTCTTTTTTTGCTTATGTTCTTTTATGCTCTTACGATTAGTTATTAAATTTATAATTTACATTTACGTTATCAAGCTCGAGTTGTAAACATTCTACACAAAAATTATTCTGCTGCCTTTGTTTTTTTGTTTCGGATTCCTACACTATACGAATATATATATACGGAGGATATACATATATAATATGATTTACACCCATGCATATTCCATTAGAGATCGTAAAATTGTTTACTTTTCAACTAGTTTGGATTTAATTTTTTGAAGATTTTTTTTTTTTTTATGTTGCAAATATCTATGTACAATGTATGCTCAAAACAGATAAAATAGATTTTAAAATATTATGCAACAGTCAAAATGCATTCAGCTTGTATAAAAACTCACTTTTTGGAGTCAATTAAATAACGAAATAATTTTATTTCCTAGCTCATCATTTCCATTAGATATTTCGTATTTAGCCTCTAACTTTTAGTTTTTTTTTATAGCTGACTTTGAGCATATCCTAACAGATTTCATGGCATTCACAGTTTTATATTTCAGTTGTTAAACTGTTTGGCAACTAATTTAATAAATTTGGAAGTCAATTTAAATAAATTTAATTCAAATAAAATTCATGTTTTTTTTTTTTTTTAATGTAATGAACTGAATTCATAATTCTAATAAATGTGAAATGGCATGTAAAATCTCCTCTAAAACAAGCTAGAAAAGTCTATATACATATAATGTTCATATTTTGAAATTTGATTTGCATCTGCAATCATCAATAAATAAAGTGTGAAAATAAAAGTCAAAGTTTGTTGCATAGTGTAAGCCGAGCTTACAATTGATTTGTGCTAAATATACAAAATAATAATTCATAAACAAAACTGAACAAGTTCTACTAGATAGAGGTACGCAATTGTTTTTGGCTTCTTGCTTTCGATTTCATTATATTTATTTTGTTTTTGGTTTTTGGAAGAGCTAGAAACTAAGTTTACGTATGTATGTGAGTGTGTTAATTTTTTATCTAAATGTGCTGAGGATGAATTGTTAAAAGCATTAACGTTTAAAACAGAGCTTTAAAATCTTTTATTTTTGGCAACTTTCGTTTTCTTGTTGAGCTGGGCGCATTTAAAATCAATGAATAAACATTTTTCATTTTAAAAAATTTCTAAAAATTTGTCTACTAAAATGAATGAAGGTAAATTAAAATATATATTTAATATATATATATGCTATGTATGCTATGGGCATGGCTAAAAAGTGTACAGGTTTATATATGTACGTATATTTAGAAAATAGTTTATTGTATATATGCTTGGGGATAGGGGAACTCTAATATCTATATATAGTGGATTATACAATGAGCAAACAAATTACTAACTGTTCATATTGACTATATCCATATATGTATATCTACAGATATATGCTTTATACATACGAATTTTGTACAACTTATGGAATTAAGTCTTTGGTCTAGCATTGTTTTTTTTTTTCGATTTACCAAATTAGACAAACTACGCTCGATTTATGACAAATGCCACTGGAAACATTTTGAATCATCATTTATCATTCGCCCCGTCAATCAGCCAATCAGCCGTGAATGACAAATTTTGATTTGGTAATTGACATTCGGGGCGAATGGCAAATCTGTTCCGTGGATTGCATCTAAAATTTAGGAATGGGTTACCATGGATTCTATATGTGCTTCGTTTTTACATCTAATTAGACTACAGTTTGTTTTAATTTTTTTTTTGTATTTGCTGTTCTTAACTTGCGAGAGCTTTACGAAATCATTATAAATTTCTACACGCTGCTAACATAACATTCTCATATTCTCGAAGGATTTCTTTTGATTCTACATAAATTGCTCTTGGATTCGCATTCGCGCTTTATGCTTTGGATTGGCTCTGAGGCAGTCAATAGATTGTTAATTTTTCAGTTATTTTATTTGTATTATATATATTAAAACGTTACTTGAGAAGAATTTGGCTGATATGAAACAAAACGATTGCCACAGTGGAGTTTTATTTTCTTATTCGTATTTGCAGCACAATCTATTGACCGACAGAGGGCGCTAGCCAGCCAGGCTGGTGCTAGCGTGCAACGAAACTATTGGCCGACAGGTGGCGCGCTTTACACCTGTGTGCCATAATACTAGAGAGAGACAAACTCGCCAGCCCCCTCGCCGGCACCAGCACCAGCATTGCCCTTCTCCATGCCCGGCGCCGGCTCCGTCGTTTGCAGCTGATGATGATGATGCTGCAGCTGATGCTGATGATCCTGGGCCGTGGTCTCCGCCTCTGTCATGTTGGCATCGGCCGTCGTTTCGCTGAACAGCGTCTCGTTCTCGTCTGGCAGCGACAGCGTCGAGTTGCCAAGTCCGCCGCTGGCCGTGATGCGGCGTCCCATATTATCGTATTTTGGATAGGCGGAGCTATCACGCAACGGAGTCGCCTCCACAATGGGCGGCGTGCTGCAGGCGGGTGTGGGCGCATTGTTGATACAACTGGCGCAATTCGCTGCGGACATGGTTGGCGCTGCCGCTGCCGCTGCTGTTGCCGTTGGATGATGGCACTGGACCACGGCGGTGACAGCCGGCGGCGGCGGCGGTGGTGGCAGCGGCAGCTCCATGTCACCATTGCCCCCACCGCCACAATGATAGCCGCCCGCCTCCAGATTGTACGTAACGATCTCGTCATGGGGATAGAGATTTGTGGTAGCTGCTCCTGCTGCTGCAGCTGCAGCTGCCCCCGGCTGCAGCGAGGAGTCCTTCTTCAGTATGCCACGGCGGGCCGTGTGCCGCGGCAGCGTGGCGAATTGGGCCACAGTTTGGCCATCGCTGGTGGTGCTGCTGCTGCTGCCCGCACCACTGCCATCCGCCGAGCACTGGACATCCTGCAGACGCTTGGGTATGTTGAGCAGATCTGGATACATGTTGATGTCCGCACCGTCGAGCATATCCTGGGTGACCGAGACGCGTATGAATATGTTGCCAAAGGTGGGATTCGGCACAATATTGGAGCAAAACTCCGGCGGCGGTGGGAAGACGCCCACATTCAGGGGAAACTCCTCCGACAGCTGGCCATGGCCGTGCGAATGGGAGTGCGAGTGCAGCTGATGCGGATGTTGATGCTGATGTTGATGTTGATGCTGATAGCCGGCCATTGAGGTGGGCACACTGATCAGTCCGCAGGTGGGATCCTTGACGGTCATCAGCTGCTGCCGCATATGCTGACCAGCCTGACCCTGCTGCTGGTGCTGCTGCTGTTGCTGCTGTTGCTGGTGTTGCTGTTGCTGCTGTTGCTGCTGGCTCAAGCCCGTACGATGCGCCTCCACGGCATGGATCTCGATCTGATTGAAGCCGAGCGTGGAGTCCGTCTTGTTGATTGAGCTGGGATTGTTGTCAATGCCATAGCTGTCGCCGCGGTCATTGGTGGTCGTTGTCACACTCGAGTCCAGCAGCTTCTTCTCCTGATCATTGAAGCTGACACTCGACTTGACGCCCGCCTTGTTGGCATGTCGATGCTGGCGCGTCGTGCGCTTGCACAGGCAGACCACGAACGAGATGGCGATGAGCAGGAAGACGGTGCCGAAGATGCCCATGATGAGCCCGAAGTACCAGAAGGTCTCCGGCGTCTTCACCAGCACATGCTGGACAATCTCGCTCAGATAGATGCTAATGTTCTGGGTCATCGATCCGATCAGATTGGTGCCCGTGCAGGCGTAGGTGCCTGCATCCAGGCTGCTCACATTGAATACGGTCAGATTGCTCCACAGCTTGTCGGACGTGATGCTCTCCGTATCGAAGAGCACGTTGTCGTTGTCCAGGATTTTGCCATTCAGTTCCCAGCTGACCTCGGGCAGTGGATCGCCGTAGACCAGGCAGCTGAATGTCGTATTGCTGCCAATGTCGATGTTCGTTGCCTCCTCATTGTTGAAGATCTCCACGCGGGGCGGGCAGCCAAAGAGCTCATCGTCGACACTGTCCCAGGTGCGATCCTTTTGCGCCGGCGGTCCCTTGCACACCAGGCTCACGGAGCTCAGCCGACTGCCCACATACCAGTTGCGAAACTTACGCAGCTTGCAATTGCACTGCCAGGGGTTCTCCTCCAGGGAGAGGGTCTTCAAATTGCCCATGTGCTGGAACACGTACTCGCTGAGGCTCTCCAGTAGATTGTTCTTCAGATTGAGAAACTCCAGCAGATTGAGATTGGCCAGCGACATGGGATCTATGTACGAGATCAGGCAGTCGTGCATGTCCAGGGTGCGCAGATGCGGCAATATGGGAAACTGATAGGCGGAGAGCCGTTTGAGGGGATTCCCGTTCAAGTAGAGTATGCGCAGTCTATCGTTGCCCATAAACGTGTCCTTGTCGATCATCTCCAGCTTATTGTCCGACAGATCAATCTCCACGAGTATCTTCAAGTTGCGAAAACTCTCCTTGTGTATGTATTGGACCTCGGATTTCTTCAGATAGATGCGCTGTAGGTTGAGCAGACCCAGCGCAGAGAACTCCTCCCGATTCAGATATGGTATGTGATTATCATTGAGCACCAGCACCTGCAGCTCAGTGCTCAGCGTGTTCGGTATGCTCGTCAGCTGCAGCGAGCTGCATATGGCTGACTTTTTGCCATTTGTCCATTTGCAGGTGCAGTTCGAGGCGCAACTCTGTGACCAGTCATCCGCCCACACCCAGCCGACCAGGCAGCTGAGGCACAGGAGCCAAAGCAACTGCTGCCAGCCTGCAAAAGAAAAAAATGTGTGATGAGAGAGAGAGAGAGAGAGAGAAAGGAAACAAAGATTAAGTTAAAGCGAAATAAATACAGAAAAGAAATAATATTAACTTTGACTAGGCGAAGAATGAATACACTTCTCTGAATATTATATTGTAAATATATGAAAAATAAATGTGCCTGTGAGTAGACCTTATGAATGCCTAATTTGTTTGAGAGGTCTTGGAAAATTGATTAGTCTTATAAGAAATTGATGTTGAAATGTGTTTTAACATAAGCAATTGAATATCTCAATAATTATTCCTATGCCAAACAATCTATTCACTCTAATATGATTTAAGATTAAATAACCGTTAAGACATGTTGATTACATATTAGATTATATTTGACTTTGCTGTGACTTTGCCAAATTATAAAGATAAACTTGCTGCTCTAATGGTGCGAAACTATGGCTTAAATTCCGAGACATTTGATTTATTTACGAAATAAAAAAATTTTTATTAGCTACAGCTATAAAGACATTGGCATGACTAGAGACAGACGGAAAACTTTTATCCAATAATGTTAAATATATATATTACTGCATTTGTCGCTCGAATAAATAAAATCTCTTATTAACCAGAAACAGCCAATTGTATCAATTGGCTCAAATTCAAGCTTCATGATATAAATAAGTATATATGTAAATATAATTTTTTGTATACCCATATAAACATATACATTTATAAGTGTATATATCTTCCATTGGTAACACAATTCATGACAAAATTATAATACTCTCCCTCTCTCTCTCTCTCTCCATCTTTTCTTCTCTCTTTCTCTCTTTCTCTCTGTCTTTCTGTTCCACTTGCTTCCATTGAACAAAAAATCCAATGATTGACGACCTTTGGTTCAAGCTTTTGTTTTATGTGCCACTTACCTGGCAGCCGGATGCTGCTGCTGATGCTGCTCCCTCTGCTGCTGCCCCAGCTTCTCTCTCTGCTGCCGCTGCTGCTACTGCCGCTGCTTTTGGTTCTCCATTTCGCTGCCATGCTGTGCATTTGTCCCGCTGCGTATTTTTCGCTGCGTCTGACCCTCTGCCCGCTGGACTTGGACCTGGACCTGGACCCCAGTCTCGGTCGCGACCTCGCCAATTGATGACTCTAAATGGCTTTGGCTGATTCGATTGCCATGTTTCACATCATGTTGCCGTCGCTGGCGAAAGGGGGCTCCATTACATATTACTCGGCACTTTGGCCACTTTTCTGGCACACTGAAGGCAAATTTTTGCCGCTGCACTCGACTGCGACAGTTTCTTATCGAATTTAGTTTTTTTTGCTCGTTTTTTTTTTTTTCTTTTTTTTTTTTTTTTTTTTTTTTTTTTTATTGAGCTCTCTTTGTCGCTTCACTACACACGCACCACCTCACTCGCTCACTCTTGATGTATATATCTGTCTCTTGATGTCTCCCTTTAGTTAGGTTCAGTGCGTTCCAGCAAATGTTGACCAGCTAAAAGAAGTAAAAGAAAGTAAAACTAAGAGTTAATATTTGTAGTTTGAATAAGTTTTGCAATTGAATAAATATAATGGCAAAAGCAAGTTTAAAGTTTGAGTTTTAACATAAGGAATATCTCTAATATTACTGATTGTTAAAGGAAAGTATCGAAAGGAAATATATATATATATATATATATATATATATATATATATATATATATATATATATATATATATATATAAATTATCTCAAAAGAGATAGTAATAGAGAAGATGCAGATATTTTACTATTGGTAGGAAAAGTCATAAATTATTTTGCTATGCCTCAACTAATTTTCAATTTTCTTATTATCATTATTAGCATAATTATTATTATCATCATCGAAACTGCTTCAATTCCAAGAATTATGTCTGCAAGCATAAATCTAGTCCTTGACTATTTCGACCTTCGACTACAGCAATACAACACTCTCGCACCCGACTGGGACTCAAACTCTGAATTCCCTAGATATCTGTCTGCCCTTGACTCTGGCGCTGTCTTACAGCATTTGAGGTTTGAGCTTGATTTGACTACAATAATCTCAGTATCGTTTCCTTTGCTCTTACATTAAAATCAAGTACAGAATCTTTCTATCGCATTCAACATTTTCTCAACCCTCGAACGCCAGCAACAACGTTCGATAGAGAACAGAGGACTGAAGAAAAAACGTCATTTGCAGCTGAGTGCGGCATTCGGATTAGTTTTCAATGCTGGCCCGGCACAATTCAGATGCTTCCGTTTTTAAGGAATGCGAGTCCGTTCAAAAAGGGGGAATGGTGGATTACAAAAAAGAGAGAAGCAAAATGGACTTTACTTAGAGCATCATTTTCAGGAACAATGTGCATTGTGTTGTTGTTATTGTTGATTGTAATTGTAGTTGGCTCATTGGTAATCTCAATTTACCGAAGCTCGACCAGTAAATGGAAATGCCAAACAATGGGCCAATAGCATCGGCCTTTAGCCAAAGCTTTAAAATGGCCTATCAACAACAATTTGTAGTTTGTTGTTCACGTTAAGAATGGTGGGAGGCTCGAGTTGTTCGCTGGGTATTTCACAGAGCAACAATGCGGCGCAACAGCTCTGAGCCACACTCTGCCCTCCACGCGGCGCCGCTGCCCACTCGACATCTTCACAAAATCAGCATCAAAAGCCTGTCGAATGGTTATTCTTTTTTTTTTTTTTTTTATACTTTTTCTCTTTTAGGTTTTTTTTTTTTTTTTTTTTGTTGTTTTTTTTTTTGTTTTCTCTTCAAAGAGACGCAGGCTGCTGCTTGAAAATGAGGCACAAGTAAAATTTGCCTCATGCTGCAACAGCAGCAGGCAAATGCTGCAAAAACTGCAGAATTACCCACCTACATTCACATACATACAATGAAAACGAAAAATGCTCTGAAGGTTCATTTGTCAATTTGCCATTTGAATTTGTATTTGAGAAATTCACTTGGCCGCTTTTGCGCTTTGTTCAGGCCCCAGCCTCAGCCTCATCGTGAGCCTCAGCCTCATCGTGAGCCTCAGCCTCTCATTCATGGCGCATCTCTCTCTCGCCATCTCTCTCTAACTTGGCTAAGATGCTTTGGCAATGCGGATAATATTTCCTGTGCCAGTGCAGCAGTTGGCAGCGCAATTGCAGCGGCAGCACCCCTCAGCCAGCACTGCTGCCGCCGCCGCCTCTGCTCTGCCAATTCAAACTGATTTTTTGCCTGCTGCCTTTTGTGGCTGCCACATGCCACACTGTCTGTCTGTCTATCTGTCTATCTGTCTGTCTGTTTGTATGTTTATGTGTGTGTGTGTGTGTGCTTTACAATCGTCGACAGTTTTATTTGTGCAGCTTTATGAGCACACACAAACACACTTAAAGAGATCCGCAACGGCAGACACTCGACTCGACTCGACTTGATTCGACTCGTTGATATATTCATAAATGTAGCACAGTGGGCCGCAAAAGCCAAAAAGCTAATTCAATAGCCAATTGCCAAAAATATAAAGAAATAAAAAAGAAGAAGAGGAAACAAACTGCAGAATATTAAAAAAATATTATGATAGGATCTCAGTGGATTTGCGGAAAGACTGCTGCAGCCGCAATTCATAAAGCAAATCAATTAACTGATACAGATCAATTATAGCAAACTTACGCTCCATAAGTATGTGGAATCGAATATGCCAAGTGCAGGCATCGACGTTTAGTTGCAGAGCTGTTGAAATCCTAAGCTAAAATCACTTTCCGCTCGGCATTTGGCAGTTGGCAGTTGACCTGGCTCAGTTGGGCCAATGCATTGGGCAAATGGCATATACCTCGCATTGTATTCCGTAATTGGATTTCTTTGTGCAGCCAACAACAACAACAACAACAATTTGGCATGGCTGCCATTGTGGCGAAGTAATTAATTTTACTAAAATTGATAAAGCTAAACAAATGTTGCAATTAGAGGCATCCCAATTGGAAAATACCCTGCAATTTGACTGTGAATCTTTTTAATTGATTTTTCAGCCTGCAAAAGCTGCAAGTTTATTGCAGGAAAACATTTGCCTTAAGCTGATTAAACGTGATTAAATTTCGTTCAAGAATTTTTCTTTACTGAATAAACTTATTTTTTATTTAATTCAAATTGAGTTGAAAAAATATTTTATAATAATATATTTTTAAATAAACGTACAAAAAACTCGCAGAAATTGATTTCAATGTAAAGAAAACTTTGATAAAATCATTTTTATTATATTCAAATAAAAAAAGTCTGAAGTATTAATTGAATAAATCGTAAATCTCATATGGATATCATTTTCAAAAGTTTGCAAAAAATCGGACTTTACTAAAATTCAGATTGTTTTTTATACCCTGATACCATTACAGTGCAAAGGTTGCTAGCCAGACAGCCTCATCATATTTAAAAAGCAACTGCTAAGAACAATGCCATTCATTTTGATTTTCTCAGTTATGCGTGAAATGAAATCCACAGAGATTTCTGAATCTTAAAAACTTTTGTGAGCTGCCTTACATACATATATACATAGAGTGTATATATGAGCATTTATGAAAGACGTTTGAAATTAATATTGACATGTGCGGAAGATGAAATATTAATTGGCATTTGAGACTGTTTCGCCCAACAGACGCTTGAGATGTTTTCAATTAAATGCATGCAGACAACGAGGCGTATACTTAACTTAATTAATTCATAAACTGTTACTTTGTATGCAGCACTTATTGCAATTATATATGTGTAATCAGAAACTATTTTCAATTTTCGCTCTTCAGTCTAGACTTTGTGCAAAGCTCTCGCCTCATTAGCTGCAACTTGTGAGCTGCAATTGCTGAGATGGCTAAATAAATATAAGATTAAAATAGGTAATTGTTGATTTAATTGTTGTTGACATTTCATAAAAGAATATATTTGTTTATGTATTAAATATGAATGAATTTTGTATTATTAAATAAATATACATACAATTCATACAAATACATATATATTGTTAAGTACAGCAAATTTGTAGTATAGCTTTATATAGATATTAAATAGCCTTATTAATATAGACTTCTTGAAAAGAATTCATTCTGAGGTAATGATGCCATTGTGCTTATTAAACTTTATAATACTCGTTGCAGGCTGACTTGAACAAAAGGTCAACCAATTTTGTTCTATTTTCAACGGAACAAAGAATGAGTTCCATAATTCCAAGTTCTACATATAAAGGATATCTACATCTCTTTATCTGCCAGTTCTAACTACATATGTACACATTGATATTTATGTATTTCAATTTTGAACTATTTTTAAGATTTTCACTATTTAATGCGCTTAAAATTTTTTATCTTAAATTTGTTTACCATATTCTAGTTTTCTAGTCCAAATGTTATTTAATGTTGATCACATTTGACATTTGTAGAACTACATTAATTGAATATTTTTCTTCGAAATGTTATATTTGAGTATTTTATTGCAGTTTCAAGTTATCATATCAGATAACTGACTCCTTAATAGGATAAGCAATTGTAAATTTATTTTAATTTATATATTATATACCCATTCCAATTCTATAAACAGATCGGCACTCAGCTAATATACTCGTCTCATTTCTTGCCCAAGTATACACAAGTATTTATCTCAAATCACATCTCTAATACTGAATTGTGCCTAAATGCTTTTAGGAGTAAGCCGATGCTCAGCCATTTATTGGACCGCTTAAGTGGAAAGCGAGAGATGATGATACTTGGCACTGGTGGGGTAAGCTGCAAACCACTCGGTCACAAGGTATTTTTTGGTGATAAACAAAACAAATCGTAAAATTCAATTGGATGAACCTGTCTCGCCTCAGAGTGCTGCAAGCTGTTACCCTTGAAAAGTTCTGCTTTTTCTTTTAGTCTGTCAAAATGGAAAACAGAGGTCAAAGGCCAGCCTTTTTATTTTCATCTCTTATTAAATATTATTTACATGCGCAATGCGAATGTGTCAATAGATGGGACTCCAAAGAAAACAATCAAGTTTATTTTTACAACTTTTTGATGAGCTCTGCTTTAATTTCAGACAGGCTTTGGGTCAAGGGATTTATTGTCTATGGCATCTTCGAAAATTGAATATATAATATTTCATAATTACTTCAGTGTCATAGGATAATTCAGACGCTCAAGGAGATGGCAGTGTGAATTTTGAGTGACATTGTGTTATGTTTAACCTTAGAAGAGTGTCTAAAATGTTTGCAGAAAATATGTTATAAAACACGAAAAGATTTTTTTTTTTTTTTAAAATACACTTTTTGTTGTATGTACATATCATAAAATAATATACTATAATATAAAATAATAAATATACATTATAGAACATAAAAATTTGATTAACATGTTTCTAGTGTGATATATAAAATTTAATCAGATTTAATGTATTCAAGATAATAAAGTTGTTTTTATTCATCAACTAAATTTTGAAAGTCTCACTCTCTCACTCTTAAATCCCACATCAGTTTTCAATTTCAATATTTCTT